CCATCATTGTTGTTTGGCGGGCCCGGGCTGGATTCGAACCTGCCACCTTAGGTGTATGTGGCTGGCACCTTAGCCACTTGAGCCACAGGCACTGAGCCCAAGGCCTTATTTTAATAGGTTCAATTTATCTGTGGTTATTTCTTTAGTTCCCAAACATGTGTATATAATTGGCATTATCCTAATGAACAGTGAGGGTTAAAGTGGCCATCTGAATCTTTTGGCCCACTTGGATTTTCTTGGTGTTCATAGATGGTTTCTTTAGGAATTAAATAGATAGGATATCTACTATATTATTACCTGGATATATATACAGAAAAGCACCAACTCTGGAGCCAGAAATATGACTTGAGACAGCACAATGGAGAATACTGGCTTCTCATACAGTCACCAGACTTAAGTCAGTTTATACACCCAGAACTCTTTGAAAGGGGGCTTGAGCGTCTTAGAAAAGAATTACATGAGACTTTCCTCAAAGGGCCTGTAAGTACTCATTAGGGTGAATATGCATTGAGAAAAGGGAAATGCCTCAGATTTTCAGGGATTACTAGACACTGACTCCAAGTTAACACTAATCCTTTGGATCCTAAAACACCCCAGTGGACCATTCCTTAAAGTAAGGATTTATGGATGTCAGGTGATAAATGCTACTTATTGAGGTCATGCTACTTATGGCACAGGCCCAATTAATCTGTGGATTTAGCTATGGTTATTTCTGGTTCTTGAATGTTTAATTAGAATAGACACACTCAGCAATAACAGAATCTTTACATTTGTTTTCCAGATTTGGAACTGAGGACTATTATAGTAGAAAGGACCAAATAGAAACTCCTGAACTTTCCCCCCTCTGCCAGAATAAAATAAAGAAACAAATAAACAGATATCAAAAACAAAAACAGAGGCTCGGCACCCATAGCACAGTGGTTATGGCACCGACCACATACACCAAGGGTGGTGGGTTTGAACCTGCCCAGGGACACCTGAACAACAACAACTACAACAAAAAAAATAGTTAGACATTGTGGTGGGCGCCTGTAGTCTCAGCTACTTAGGAGGCTGAGGCGAGAGAATCACTTAAGCCCAAGAATTGAAGGTTGCTGGGAGCTGTGATGCCACGGCACCCTACTGAGGGCAATAGTGTGATTCTGTCTCAAAAAAAAAAAAAAAGAAACCCAAAGTTTACTACCTTGGTAAAATTTTTAGCAGTCCAGTGTTTCCAAGTATAAGGTCAATTGCTGTATCCTATGCCACCTAGCACTAAGAAAAAGGCGATTGGACGATTATTGGACGATTTCTACATTTTAGAAATAACTCTTGCCATGTTTGTATATGCTACTTTTATAAATTAACTGAGCACAGGTATGCGTGTTGCTTTTATGCTTTAACTGAGCCATCAGTTGCCAGAGTGGATCCCAGAGCAACAAAAGGCTTTGCAGGCTTTCCTAGGTAGTGCAAAAACTCTTTTTCACCTCATGCCTTATTATCCAGAAGATCCCTTCAGTATTTGGAGTATGGGTGGCACCTGATATGCTATGACAAGTTGCAATAGTGGAATCAAATTGTAGATCCCTCGATTTTTAAAGCAAAGCCCTGCCCTCTACTAAAGTTTACTATTCTCCTTTGAGAAAGTTTATATTCTGTGTGTGTTTATATTCTGTAATTCATAAAACCATGTACTTAGGATGTGTGTACTTTTCTGTGCATTTGGTATATATTTTTAAAAGGTTTAATTTAAAAAATTAATGGAAAAATAAAAGTCTAAATATTCCAAAAGCACTTATAAATGAAGAAAAAGTTGGGGAGAATTTCTCTGATTTAAAAAATGAAGTTTTATTGGCTAGGCGTGGTGGCTCAGGCCTGTAATCCTAATGCTCTGGGTGGATTGCTTGAGCTCAGGAGTTCAAGACCAGCCTGAGCAAGAGTGAAACCTCTATCTCTACTTAAAAAAAACAAAACAAACAAACAAAAAAAAACAGATGCAAACCATACAGGAAATGATTAATATATTTGACTACCTCAAAATTAATGGATAACATTGATATGGCTAAACTTACCAAAAGTTAAATTAAAATATGGAAAAAATATTTGTTATGTAGGTAACAATGATCCGTATCAAAATTTTTTTAAATAAGAAATAGGCAGGGCATGGTGGCTCATGCCTGTAATCTTAGCTTAGCACGCTGGAAGGCTGAGGCAGGTGCATTGCTTAAGCAATTGCTTAAGGAGTTGGAGAACAACCTGAGCAAGAGTGAGATCCCCATCTCTACTAAAAGTAGGAAAAAAAAAACAAATTAGCTGGGCATAATGGTGGGCACCTGTAGTCCCAGCTATTTGAGAAGCTGGGGAAAAGGATCACTTGAACCCAGGAGTTTGAGGTTGCTGTGAGCTATGATGATGTCAGGGCACTCTACCCAGGGTGATAGAGAGAGACTCTGTCTCAAAAAAAAAAAAAATGACTATTATTCTCAACTGAAGAATGGGAAAATAACAGGAAATACCCTTTCACAGAAGAGGAAACCCAAATATATAATAAATATATGAAAATATATTAAATGTCAGCCAGGTGCAGTGGCTCATGACTATAATCCTAGGAGTCTGAGAGGCCAATGCAGGAGGATCACTTCAAGTCAGGAGTTCAAAATCAGCCAAAGCCAGCCTTTGTGGTGGGCAGCTGTAGTCTCAGCTACTCAAGAAGCTAAGGCAGGAGGATTGCTTAACCAAGAGTTTTAGGTTGCTGTGAGTGATGCTGATGCCATGGCAGTCTACCCTGGGCAACAAAATGAGACTCTATCAGAAAGAAAGAAAAAGGAAGGAAGAAAAGGAAGGAAAGCAGGAAGGAAGGAAGGGAGGGAGGGAGGGAGACTAATTCTCACTAATGACCAGGGAAAAGCAAATTAAAATAATAAAATACCGTTCTTATCTATCAGATTGGAAAAACAGTATCAAGTTTTGGTGTGGATGTGAAGAAATGATACTGTGCTTCAGTGCTGATGTGGGCATTTTGTGGAGCAATTTGGTAGTAACCACAAAAGTTGAAAGTGTACACATTATACAATCCAGTAATTCCACTTCTAGTTATTTGCCTTAGAGAAATGTTTGCACATGCACACAAGGAAATGTGTATAAGGCTATCCAGTGGCCAGGTGCGATGGCTCACACCTGTAATCCTAGCACTCTGGGAGGCTGAGGAGGGTGGATGGCCTGAGCTTAGGAGTTCACAAGCAGCCTGAGCCAGACCGAGACCTCATCTCTAAAAATAGCCAGGTGTTGTGGTGGGCACATGTACTCCCAGCTACTTGGGAAGCTGAGGCAAGACAGTCGCTTAAGCCTAAGAGTTTGAGATTGCTGTGAGCTGTGACATTATGCACTCTCTACCGAGGGAGACAAAATAAGACTCTATCTCAAAAAAAAGCGCGGCACCTGTGGTTCAAGGAGTAGGGCGCCAGCCCCATATGTTGTAGGTGGTGGGTTCAAACCCAGCCCCAGCCAAAAAAAAAAGAGGGCAGCACCTGTGGCTCAGTGAGTAGGGTGCCGGCCCCATATACCGGAGGTGGCAGGTTCAAACCCAGCCCTGGCCAAAAACCAAAAAAAAAAGAAAGAAAAGGATATCCACTGCAGCATTATGTCAATAATCAAAATACTGAAAATAGTCTAAATGTCCATCAATAGAGGAATATTAAAAAATTAAGGTGTTTTTATATTGCAGAATGCCATATCATAGGTGAAGGGAATAAAACATGTTTCTTTCCATTTATGGATTAGGTCTCAATGTTGAGTAAATGAAAGCAATTTGAAGACGCAATGTTGAATAAATGAAAGCAATTTATATACGTACTATGTCAGTTTTTTCTTAAGCACATACACAAAATGCTAACAATCATTATTTCTGGGTATGGTGAACATATCATATGTTGGTTTCATCCTTTTCTGTAATTAATTTTTTTTTTCAAAATTAAGCAATGCAAAAAAAGAACAACTAGGACGCTTTTAATTATTGCAAGTAACATTCTCAGGTAAGGTTAGATCAGAACTGAACATTATACATTGAATTTGGCAATTGAGAAGTCAATAACAACCAGTATTTGTTAAACATCTAATAAATGTAAGGCATTTTGACATGTCATAGAACAGAGAAGTCAAATGAAGCCTAAAAGCAAGATATAGTTTTCCTGATTTTGACACTGCAGCTTTTATTTACATACAATGATGATGGTGTGATAGTGATAAAATCTTCAACAAGCCATGTTCAAAATGCATAAAAATCTTAAATTTCATGTAAAAACTAATTACAAACTTTCTGCTTAGGTGGGATTTTTGGATCGGCAGAGAACATTGGCCTTGCTGGAAATATTCTATGACCAAAGTTCAGAAATGCTTAGACATTTACTCCGAAACCCAAGACAATGTAAGTATCACTCAGAGAAAATATGTTCCAGCTGAAGTAGTATGATACTCTGATATGATAACACAAAATCAATCTACTGCTATGTAATCTTATATAACATCTTTTAGATCATGATAGCTATATCTAGTTGTTTATTCCCTGATTAAATAAACTTTTTAAAAATTTTTTTGAGGTAGATACTCCTTGGCTGCAGTATCGTGGTGTCATAGTTCACAGTAACCTCAAACTCTTGGTCTCAAGAGATCCTCTTGCCTCAGACTCCTAAGTAGTTGGGACTATAAGTATGCACCACACTGAGCTTAGGAGTTCCCGACCAGCCTGAGCCAGACTGGGACCTCATCTCTAAAAAAAGCTGGGCGTTGTGGTGGGCACATGTACTCCCAGCTACTTGGGAAGCTGAGGCAAGACAAGTATTTCTATTTTTAGTAGAGATGGTGTCTCGTTCTTGCTCAGGCTGGTCTTGAACTCATGAGCTTAAGCAATCCACCCACCTTGGCCTCCCAGGGCGCTAGGATTACAGGAGTGAACCACCATACTCTGCCACAAAATTCACTCTTGATCACAACTAGAAGTACTTTTTTACCATAGTGCAATACTCGAAAATGTTATGACAGAACTCAGCTAGAACTCAATTTTAAATTCATTCAAGTGAAGAGGTGCTTTAGTAATAGTCTGAATGTTTTGGAAATTGAGTTAGCAATGCTAACTCTATTTTTAATGCCCAACCTAGAATTCTAATATTTCTAAGAAAAAATATTTCCTTCTCCCAAGCATTTTTACGTGTATGTTTACTGTACTGATACAGTAAAATATCCTTTTTATATTACTTTACATATAATATATATTTTATTTAATTAATTTATAATATAATATATATATTTTTTAATTGAATGTTTTTTTTCAGAGACAGGGTCTTGCTATGTTGACCAGGCTGGCCTTGAACTGCTGGGTTCCAGTGAATCTTCCACCTTACCCTCCTGAGTAGCTGGGACTATAGGCATGTACCACTGTGCCCCGTGTATCTTTTAAAGAGGAAAGTCTTTTAGCCAGGCCGGTTCATCATGCCTAAATTTTAGCACTTTGGGAGGCTGAAGTAGGAGAATCTCTCTTTTCTTTTTTTTGAGACAGAGTTTTACTATGTTGCCCTCGGTAGAGTGCTATGGCATCATAGCTCACAGCAACATCAAACTCTTGAGCTCAGGCGATTCTCTTGCCTCAGCTTTCCAAGTAGCTGGGACTACAGGCACCTGCCACAACACCCAGCTATTTTTAGAGATGAGGTCTATCTTTGGCTAAGGCTGGTTTCAAACGCCTAAACTCAGACAATCCACCCACCTCAGCCTCTCAGAGTGCTAGGATTACAGCCGTGAGACACTGTGCCCAGCCAGTAGGAGGATCTCTTGAGGCCAGGATTTTGAGATCAACCTGAGCAAGAGTGAGACTCCATGTCTACAAAAACTAGAAAAATTAGCCAAATGAGCTGGTGTGTGCCCGTAGTCACAGCTATTTGGGAGGCTGAAGCAGGAGGATCATTTGAGTCCAGGAGTTTGAAGTTTCAGTGAGCTATGATGACATCACTACACTCTAGCCCAGGAGATAAGAGTGAGTTCTATCTCAAAAAAAAAAGTCTTTTAATGGCTGTATTTTCTAAAGAATGTCAACATTTTATTTTTTTTTATTAAATCATAGCTGTGTACATTAATGCAATCATGGGGTACAATGTACTGGTTTTATATACAATTTGAAATATTTTCATCAAACTGGTTAACATAGCCTTCACGGCATTTTCTTAGTTATTGTGTTAAGACATTTATATTCTACACCTAATAAATTTCACATGTATCCTTGTAAAATGCACCGTAGGTGTGGTCCCACCAAATCCCTCCTCCACCCATGCTTCCTCCTCCCCTCCCCTCCCTCTCCCCTTTCTCTTTCTTCTTGGGCTATAATTGGTTTCATAGTAAGGTTGAGTACATTGGATACTTTTTCTTTCATTCTTGAGATACTTTGCTGAAAAGAATATGTTCTAGCTCCATCCATGTGAACATGTAAGAGGTAAAGTCTCCCATCTTTCTTTAAGGCTGCATAGTATTCCGTGGTGTACATATACCACAATTTATTGATCCATTCATGGGTTGATGGGCACTTAACATTTTATTTCTGTGTGAGGATTTATTACTCGGATACTTAAACATCTGTGAGTGATATACATGAAATATTCCTGAAAATATTGACAATCACTATTTTACAGCTTAACTACTAAATGTTCTGGGGAGATGAAGGGGATAGTCTTGTGGCATGAGGGCA